CAAAGCAGAAGCCCAGGAAGCTGAAAGTCACTTTGTTGTTTTAAACTTTTCTTCTGCAAGAGATCGCATTGCTCACCGCTCCATGGGCATTATTGCTGCTGACTCGCAATGCAAATCTGTCTTGATATTTGTTTTCATTCACGTCCCCGTGGCTCACAGAAGGCAACAGCTCGCAGCTTTGGTGGTGCCAGTGGTGGAGAGGTGTTAACTACCTCGCCCGGTATACAGGAGGTTGTGGGTTCGATCACCGACCCTGATGCCTGTGTATTTGGAGTTTGTGTGTTCTCCCCGTGGTCGCGTGGATTTTTCTCCACGTCCTCCGGTTGTCTCCTCCACATTTAGAAACATGCGTTTAGAGCATTTGGCTGCTATACATTTCCACATGTGGCCAGGTCGCTTCTGAAAAAGAGTGATAGAGCTTAGTGGGCCCTATCTGGTGAAATAAATAATAAAAAACTTTTGAGACATGCGTGTGTTACCGCTTTTTGATATATGAGCAAATTGATAACAAAATGTAGTAGCGTATTTCTCAGGTTTGTTTTCGTTTGAAAACATATACAAGACTACACTGACAATTAAAACAAATGCTGATGCCCTCTTTCTACCGTTCCAACAGAACAGGCTGTTTCAGTAAACCGTGGTAATCTTGCACAAATTCAAGTCCATTTTCGAGCCATAATGGTGGCTTCAAAACCGTCCTCCAGTTATGTTGGAGCCACGTAGTAAGCTGCAGTTCCTTTAAAGGTGACATTGTGTTGCCTTGGAATATAAGGTAGTAGCAATAATATTAATAATGCAAACGATATGTCCAGGAAAACCATCACTGAATCGTAAGACTTTCAGGAGGGTTCTGCATTGGGATGTTTGGCTTCACGTGAGATGAACCCGGAGAGCCAGGAGAAACCCCATGCGTACAATAGGACAACACTCAGAAGCGCCATGCAAATATATTCAATAGAAATCCAGACTCAGTCTGGTGATTCAACTAAACCGATACATGAGCCGCACAATTTTAGCCCTGCTGCAATCCACTGACACCTCGTAGTCTCAACAGCCCCGTGCCTATAACACCTGAGACACACGGGTGGGTGGTCACCCACCTGAGCACTAATCAGGCTCAAGCCTACTTAGCTCCCGAGATCCAACGAGGTGAGGGTCATAGGCATTGTCTGGGCAGTAGCATCTGGCCATGTGATCGTGACAACAGGCATCTTTAGCCGCGCATTAAAGACAAAGACAAAGATCCCCCGTGTAGCCTTAACAGACTGTTAAGGCGAGTGCTGTTATCGAGCACCTATAAAGGCTGGAACGGCACAGAAGGGGATGGGTAGTCGGCACCACGCCTGACCGCCTTTGTCTCCCTGATGGTGATGTTTTTACACACCAGGTACTTATTTGAGGCTGAGTCGACCTACGGGGAGGCCCAGGACGGTTTTAGATAATCACCACTGGTGTTGGTGGCCGTGAGCGGGAATTGAACTCGGGTCGCCGGGTTCTTAGGCGCAGCGCCGCTAACCGCTGCGCCACCGCTCCCCACATACGTACACGTCCTCCGACCAGCTGATCTGGCAGCTTTTCCTCTTTACGCGATTAAGAGCGCTACGAGCACTACGTCCGCGTCAGGGCGCAAGTATTGCCAGGCGGCACTAACGACGGATTAGGGCCAGACCCCAGGACCTCCCGAGGGGAAGAGATAATGCGGGCTTTGCTGTATCGGTGGAGGTTTGTCGCGTGTGCGAGTATGCAATCCTGTGCTCGTAACGCGCATTTAATAATGTCGCGTTGCCAACTTGGCATCCGCTGCCAGGGGGGCACGACTGCCCCTGCCGCTGCGCCCGCAGGTCACTCTTCATTTGCCCAAAGTCAGCTGCGTTGAATTGTCATAGCGGACAATTTACAAGGGAAAGTGTCAGTGGAAAAGAGGCAACAATATATGTGAAGTTCATACAATGCCCAAACCGTTCCATTAGACGGCATCCGCAACGGTTGGCCGTGATAACCAAAATCACGATGAGCATTGCGTTGCATTTCTTACATGTACATGGAAAACGTATAAAATAATGAATTCGTAATTTATTAAACTATACATCATGAAATGTGTTTGGTAAATGAATACACCTGAACCCTTTAGCCAGAGCCTTACGCCTCGTGACCTCACGTGCTGGTAATTGTACGAATAATAGTCCTGTTATTTACACGAATGGTAATACATCCTTTGCGAGACGGCAAGTTTACTGTAAGGTCGTTTGCTAGCCTCTTGAATGGCGCATTATATATATATATTTGTTTTTATTGCCGTCCGTTGCAGTCGGTCAATCGAAACAACTGACATTGTTCCTCGGCGGCCCGGTGTTTTCCTAGGCCACGGCTGAGGCTTACTTTAGAAGGCAGGTGCGCCAGTTCGCTTTTTCCGAACACTCCTCGTGAGCTGGTGGAATTCCTGGGCTGTGTTTGCTTGGGGCATTCAAGAAGCTCAAGGTTTTGGTGCGAATGGGGGGGGCAGCTCTTTTTTTTGTGCGTGCGTGTGCAAAGCCAAGAGTGGGCACACGGATCACGAGCCAATGCGGCATGGGAAAGCTCGGTCACTGTGTTTATCCAACAGGTGAAGTGCTGAATGACAGCAAGTTAAACACTCGCAGCTCTGAAAGCACTTCTACCAGTGTTTCTATTTGGCAAATTGAAACAGCAACGGAACAGCGGACGCCTCACGACCTAAAATGTTCGCCACGTGCCGGCCGCAAAACCAGCGAAAGCCAGTGAAGTGTAAAAAAAAAAGCATCGACAATTTTCCGTGGATCTCAGTGAAATTTTCTGAATGCTTTCTTTGTATGTACATCAGTCCACTCTCATTCATCTTCAGGATGCAGGACCATCGCTCAAAGTGTATTTCACTGAAGCCGGATTTTGGAAGGTGAAATAAGTGTGTGGTGACATTTTTCTCCATAGAGGGTTTTTTTTCTCTCCCACTTCACTAATGGCCTGTCCTCTTAAGAGTCGCTGCGTAAACTTTCGTATGTTGCTGAGCTACTGAATTCCAAAAAGTGCTTCGATCAAAATACACTTCGTGACGGGTTGACTGTGGTGTAATTGGCGGGGGCTCCCCCCCCCCCCCCCCCCACCTTTCCTTCATTCTCTTTGGCAACTCAATGCGCAATAACAGACAAAACCACAGCCTTGGGAGAGGGCAGACTCACAGAAATGGATTATGTCAAACAAAACAAAATCCACGCCGACTGATTAGATTATTTCGAACTGGCAGCGATCCATCCTGGCCCAGCGTACAGCCGGCACACGCCCACTTCGTGCCCGGCTTCCCGAAGAACGCCTCGTTTGGAGGGCACACTCCGGCATTTCTTTTTTCCATCAGCGCCCGGTCACAATCTCGGACTCAGCGGGCGAGCGGGGCCTCTGACAGATGCAGCGCTCGTTGCAGGCCTCGTGCACGTGCTTCAAAGTGAGGCTTGCAGCTCTTCACTGAAGCCAATGCAGAGTGGCGTTTAGTGACTAAAATTGGGCTCGTTAAAGGAATACGTGCTTGTATATTTAGCGTTTGAACTATTCCCCGGCCGCAATTCAATTGCAGATTCAGTTTCCCCCCAAGCTCTCCCAGATACACACTGCTCATAATTGGCTTTCGGACTTTTTTCTTTTTTTGCCCGGTGACTGTAAATAAGGGCAAAGCTCGCCATAGGCAAAGACAACAGCATCTCTGACAATCATCCTGTTTAGTGAAGAGTTTTTAAAATGGTGTTTAATTGAAATTCTAACATCAATAATTATCTCTTTGAATCCCACACCAAGGAAATTAGAGTGCTTATCCATATTGATCTGACAGTCAAGGCAAGAGTTAATGGAATATAAAGGAGTGTGAATGATCAAAGAGAAGCTGCACTGTCAAGCCAACGAGATATCTCAAGTTTTCATCGGTGGTTATTAATTCAAAAGCCACCGCATGGGTTTGGTTTGATGGTCAAAATTCTATCACATATCATGCGAGAGGACTTTCAAAGATGACTTATTGGATTGCATCTCTTAATTAAGCCGTCAACCCGGTAACGGCTGCTTCCAGCACTTTTATTTGGTGTGATCCGTATTCTCGCATGCATGGATTGTCCAGTCCAGCCGATTTTTATTTACATTCTACGCGTTCATCGAGGCCTATAAGAGTGTTGGCGGGTGCAGCATTTTACAGTTGCTCACACACCAAATGGGCTTTGATCAAAGTGCAGTTTATGCTGGCATTACTGTGCCATAATTGGCAACCCATTTTGTGCCCTATGAATGAAAAGAATAACAAACAAACCCACAGCTAAGCGCAGATGGATATTACAGTCGAAGGCGGTGATTGATGATTTTGTATTGAACCAGGAGCCATACCGCAGGCATCGTACGTATGTGCTTGTGTGCGTATGTGAACGTGTGTCAAAGTGTAGCGTAATAATATTGAAGAAAACATTGTATACATCTCTCTGATCCAAAACAAGAGATCAGATGTTTCTTCAAACAAGCCATGATCAAAGATTATTTGTGAGAACATCAAAAACCAAATTTTTTAATTGAAATGTATAGCTTGACATTTTCTGGTAATGCTCAATTATTTGTGCGCGGGCCTTAATTTCAGCCAGAGCAGTCTGGGGCTGCCCTCTGGAAAATAATTATTATATTTCCCAGCAACCCCTTAGTGGAGGATCTTCCACCAACAGTGGCGTGAGCAAGCGATTGCAGGACTCTTAAACGCGATGAACTCTCATGACCTCGTCGAGAAGCATAAACCATCACGCGAACTCCGGTCATCCTCGCAGCGACGGCTTTTGGCTGGCAATCGAACAAAGGCGGCCACTGCATCGCGCGCTTTCAGATCTGCTTCTGCGGCCGTCTGGAATGCTCTTCCTTCTGACATGAAGAAGTCACTGGAACTATGCACTTTGAAATGTAGATTGAAAATATTTTTCCCAATTGTAGTCTCACAAACACCCGCCCGCACTCTTTTCCGTTCCCAGGGTCCCGCTTGCGCCAGGAGGACGCGCCCCCGCGCATCGCGGAGCATCCGTCGGACCTGATTGTGTCGCGCGGCGAGCCGGCCACGCTCAACTGCAAGGCGGAGGGGCGCCCGGTGCCCACCGTCGAGTGGTACAAGGATGGCGAGCGCGTGGAGACCGACCGCGACGACCCGCGCTCGCACCGCATGCTGCTGCCCACCGGCTCGCTCTTCTTTCTGCGCATCGTGCACGGTCGGCGCACCAAGACGGACGAGGGCAGCTACGTGTGCGTCGCGCGCAACTACCTGGGCGAGGCCGTGAGCCGCAACGCGTCGCTCGAGGTGGCAAGTGAGTACTCGCGACACGTCGGTTGTGGCTTGCGCGTTGGGGGGAGGGGGGGGGGCGGAGGCGGTAAAGGGGGGAGGATAAAGAACCCGGACGTGCGTTTTGTGGTGGTTTACATCACTCGGTCGTTGGTAAGCTCCGCGCTTTGAAGCCCGTTTGCCCGCGGTCGGTGTTTTAAATTCCACTGCCAGCGCCAAATGAAGCTGGGAGGATTTTTTTGCCGAAGAGCATTGCCTTTGATGATGCACGCTTTAATCACAACGGCGATTATTTACTCAGGAGAGCATCACTGCACCTCTCGGTGATTTTTCAGGAGGGTGGTGATGCATTGGGATGTTTGGCCAATGCCATTTAATGTTTGTTTGGTTCGATGTGGGAGGAAACCGGAGAACGAAGAGAAACCCCACCACACATCAGAGGGGGTGATACACAGTACGTCCATCTCATGGTCACTCCTCAGAGCCCTGCACCTACAACACCTGGCAAGTCCTGGTGTTCTTTAATCCAAGTGTAGTGACGCATATTGAGTCACTGTTGTGTTAGCACTAGCCACTGTGAGAAGAATGCAATTGTGCGTCTTAGAGCCTCTCTCTGTCACCAGAAGTACGCATGGCATACGGGACAGGCTGGGTGAACCCGAAAGGGCACGTGACCAGGAGAGGATAAGGAAGGGGGCCAGAAAGGGGACCGAGAAGTCATGTGATGTGAGGTCCCAAAACCTTTTGGGAAGACCCCGAAGGGGGCGTGGCGGAGGACGGAGCAAGGCCGTCGTGCTACGGTCTTCGCTCTTCGGGCACGACATCGTGGACCAGGCAGCGCGGTAGCTGACCTGGTCCGATTAGCCCGTTAAGTGGTTAAGTAGTTGCCCGTGGTGGTTACCACCCTATGTCGTTACCCCGCCAGGAGTGTATATAGTTATGTAGTTACCCTGTTGGGGTGTATAAACACATTCCTGCGGAGGGAGCTGGTAGGAACGTTGGGTTGCTCGGTCAATGGCCAGGGTCAACGGCGGCGTGGTGTATTCCGCAAATATGCCCGACTGTGAGGGCGGGCACAAGCCGGCGTGAGTAGGTTAAACGTTGAGTTTTATAAGGGCACCACCCCCCATCCAGCCCCAACCTCCCCACCCAGCCCCTCTCCACCCTCCCCTCCCAGCCCCTCCCCACCCTCCCCTCCCCACCCAGCCCCTCCCTGCACGACGGACGGACAAATTAATCCCCTGTGGGCTGGTGTAACCAGGAGGTTCCTACCAGTATTAATGTGTTGCCTCCAAGTTAGAAGTGTCTGCCTCCATGGAACCCACTACACAAGTGCTAACAAGGCTCAGCTTTCCCTAGCTGCTGGGATCTGACGATATCGAGTGCAATCATGATGATTTGGTCATAGACTAAATCATTAAAAAAAATAACTACGTGACATTGCAAGAGGAGACCAGCAGTAGCATAATGCAGCCAAAAGCTAAACTATCCTATGAGCACAATGCTGCATTTACATTCACTTCCTTTTACCAATTCCCAGGTCTCGTGGAAAATAATTATTTTATCTCATTTAGTTATCTATTTTTGTAACGGCGGAGAAGTTCTTGCCTTGAGTGCTTTAAAAAAAAATCTTCCGAAAACCATGAACAAAGAGAGACACGTGACTGCTTTTAAGTTTATTGAGAGCAGCAAGCAGGTCCACATTGCAGACTGGTCTTAGCCTTGAGGAAGCTCCATGGGGGCCAATTTATATTTTTAAAACAAGGTCTCGGGAGTGTGAAAACATATCCCAAACAATCGGCTGGAATTGTGGACCTTATTAGCCACCTACCTGGAATTGAGTTGGCGTGTCAGCCCACATCCACCATTACCCCAGCACCAGACGTGTACTTACAAAGGATCAGGAACAATTACCGGAACATGTTATTTTGCATGAATGTACAGTATCGTGTCGACCATGACCATCGCACCTGCATCGACGGTTTACCCCACGTCAATATGATGATATCGTCCGCATAATATAACAGTGTCTCAATGGGCTTACATCCCGGTTACAAATAAATTGACTCCTTGTTGAGGCACTCATTTGCCACCAGTGAGCTAAGCTAGGCATTAAGGCAAAATTAATGGCCACTGGTGTGCGATTTGTCCTTGCGTTGTCTTTTCGACATTTCAGAACATTTTACAACAGTGGTAAAATATGATAATGGTAGCTTATGGACACTCGATTTTTTCACCGCAACCAAAATGTGCTGTTTGATAAGCTACAACTCTCCCGCAGGTGCTGATTATTCAGTATAATGTGATTGGGGATAACTGGAGGGCCCGCTGGCTGCGGCAGGCATGATTGATGACTGCGCGTGCAGGTGCTGATTTCAATGAGTCTACATTAAGGAGAGATGCACTGGCCAGATATGGCTGAGTATGTGGCTCTTCGTGTGAAAATGAATCCCTTTTCTTTCTCAGCGTTCAGGTGGAAACAAGCCAGAAGATCTTTCATGGGTACTTAAAAAAAGTCCACTTTTTATATGAATGTGCCAAGGTTGTAAAATACATGAGCAATTTTTTTTAAGGCGCTTTCAGCATGACACCAATTAGGTTAATCTACCACTTTCTGAGATGCTGGGTGTTTTAATTAAAGCATTAAACGATTGACTTGGTACATCAACGCGACTTGATTTCTGCCTAAACTGTGCGACATATGGTATTTGGCGGGTGCACAGTTCCAGTGCCCAAAATTCCAACATGAAAGGTTCTGCAGGTACAGGTAGGCTTCTTGAAATCTCATCCCCTGCAGCCCCCCGGCGCATGACGATTGTAGGAATGTGTGATTACGTCTCGAAATGAGAACCCCCCCCAACCCCCCAGCCACAGCAACACCGACGTTCCCGCAGTTCTTTTCCCCGACGAAGTGGCGGGGGGGGGGGGGGGTTCTGCGTAAAAAATTGGCCGCCGAGTCGAACGTGCAGCTTCAAAGGCGACCACTGAGAGGTAACCGAAAGGGGAGGACGTTTGCAGCTGTCGCGGGGGAACAAAAACCTTCGTTGCCCCCCCGTTCGGAGAAGGCAACGGGAGAGCAGAGGCCCGCGCGCTCGTCGTCAAAACCCCCGCGGGGCGCGTCCAGCCCTTTGGAGAAAGCCCCATGTGAGGGCCCCCCCCCCTTCCCCAGGAGGCGAAGGTTGGCCACGTTGGCCCAGTACCTCGTGGCTCACGGCCCACGGTTGGGAGTGAACTCCTCACCGCTTGTAGCGGTGCGTCACATCAAACGGACTGCCGGGCCGTTGGTTGGCGTCGGTTTTGGCCTCCGAGTCGAGCGGAGCAGCTCCCAGCACACGCGTCGGGTTACGGCAGTTCACAAGCTTCTGCCAAAATAAAAAACCAACTCGCATGCTTGGCAGGCCCTTTCGTGTCATTTCGGATTAGAAAACGCTCGTACGAACAGTCAAAAGTTTCCCGCGCGCGAGTTGAATAAAAAACAAACACATCGGTCTGGAGATGCTTCTACATTTGGAATAGCATTTGAACGCCACTCACCTATAGCAGCTGTGGTGGGGGGGGGAGATGCACCATAGCTGGAAGCGTGCGCCACACAAGGCGGCTGCCGGGGTGGGGGCCTGGTTATTGAGGCCGGCGAAGGGTGGAGGCTGCGGGACAGTGACGTCGCCGGTCTGCGGGGGCTTTCGGGAAAGCCGGCTGACAATTAGATGTAAAATCAACCTAGCGGCGACTTAGCATTTGTATGTATGCATCGCGGGTCAGAGCGACGGCTGCTGCGTTTGCATTATTCTCTGGTGAGCCATTTTTATATTTAACATGTGTTAGGGTTTTGGATCTGGGGTCACGGTGGCGGGTGCCCTCTTCAAGCGGCACTGTTCCTGACAGCTTGATCTATTGATCAACGTGAGGTGCTGACAGTGTAAATGAAAATTCATGAAAAATTGATGCACTCCCTCGATCACCGTCCCATCTCCTATTCTTCCACGGCAAATTATGGCCGGCCAGCTGAGAACACTCGTGACCTTACTCTTGGCCCGTGCCCTCGAGCCCCCAGCATCCAACAACGCCGTTCCATACACCCACCCACCCCCCTCCCCCCACTGCTTACACTCTGCGTTATTCCTACCCCCCCCCCGCCCACTCACCCACCACATTCTCCATGCTTTCCCCCCTCCCAGCTCCCATCTCCAACCCGTTTTGCCTCCTTCCACCTCCTCCTCTCCTCTCCACCCACCAGCATCACCCAACTTGCCAAGGGTGTGGGGGGGTGGACCTGGTTCAGAGGTCAGGGTTCATCAGGCACTTGTGAGGCGGACGGTTGAATTTCAGATATTCATGGTGTGGGAAGGGGGGGGGGTTGCGAGGAGACGGATACATGACCCCTGCTCTTCTTTGGGGAGACACGCAGTTCTGCAAATTTAACCAGATGTATTCTTGATCAGTGTTCAAAAAATTACTACGCTTCATGTGCAATGAATGGGTGCCTGAGTGTGTGTGTATGCGTTTTGGTGAAGCGGTTAGCGCCGCTACGCTACGAACCCAGTGACCCGAATTCGATTCCCGCTCATGGCTACCAACATCAGTGGCCATTTTCTGAACCGGTCCTGGGCCTCCCCTAGGTCGACTCAGCCTACACGAGTACCTGGTGCGGTGTGTAAAAGCATCGCCACTCGGGAGACAAAGGCGGCTGGGCGTGGTGCTGGCCACCCACCCCCTCGTGTGCCGTGCCGGCCTTAATAGGTGCTCACTAACAACACTTGCCCCAACAGTCTGTTTAGGCTATACGGAGGATCTTTGTCTTTATATATGCGCACACACACACAAGCTGCAATCAAAGCATTTTTGCGACTGAGATTCCAAAGATGTTGCGCCAACCTAATGTCACCGCAGTTCCGATAGTTCATTTCTAAGCCACTTCTTATGATATCATGATGAGATCAAAGGGTTATGTATGAAAAGAAGAGTAATATGAGTGTTTGTACTTTGATGACCTTGTTCTCAACAATTTTTTGACCACTGTCCTGTATG